GATAGAATAAGGTTAGCTGGAAAAGCGCTCGCAAATTACCAGAGAGTTGGGACAAAGGGGAAGAGCAGAGCGGGATGGCCGTGCCCGGTGGTGGGCTCGCCCGGGCAGTGAGATCTGACTCACAGGAAGACTACTCTTCCTTTACCAAACCCCACTCCCACGCAGGCAGGGAAGTGCCAGAGGTCAGTGCCAAGTGGTAGCACAGACTGACAAGCGGTGGGGAGCCAAGACAGGAGCTGGGTCCATTTTGAATGCGCCAGAGCGCGGCGCTGGGTCGGCATCGGAGGGGAGGGACCGGCCCCGGGCGCGCACTCCCCAGATCGGAGGCCGCCCGAGCCCACAGGGGAGAGTTTGGAGGCAGCATCTTGCCACAGGAGACCGCCAGGACTAGATCGGGGGAGGGAAACTCCAGAAAAGAGGCTCTACCCCCAGAAATCTCTGAAAGTTCAGCGGGCGCTGGGAGGGACACAGCACAGAGTCCTCCCACGGATCGGTCCAGAGTAGCCATGTGTAGGGCGGGCGGCGAGCTCAGCGTGTGGCCCTGGGAAGCAGCTCTGGGAGTCGGCAACGGCGGACCCCGGCTCCGGATGCCCTCTCGGTGCAGTTGGCTTCAGCGCTGACTAGCAGGGGATGGACAGCCTCAATTTGAGGACCCCAAAGCCTGCGACCGTGGGGACTTGTTGCCGGGCGTCCGCCTGAGTCATAGCCGCTGCCTCTGCAGCAGAGCTGGTCGTGCCCTGCGAGGAGAGTAGCGCACACAGCCACTTTTTCTCCAGAAGCTGTGAAGTCTGTCCCAGCCGCAGACTCAAGTCCCGCCTCCGAAAGAGCGGAAAAGAGAGAAAGAGCGATATTTCTGCCGAGTTTCAAGGCGGTCTCCGGCGGCCCTGTTCCATTCAGTCGCTGGCGCTGTCCGCAAAGGTGACGGGGAACTGAGGGAGACTGCTTATAGAACTGTGATCCAGAACACATAAGTCCCCCTCTGCCTGGCAACTCGACATCCACCCCAACACACCGCGCTAAAGGGCCGGCCTCCGCCACTAGGTGGAGTAAACCGGCCATTTTTTTTTCCTTTTTTTTTGTTTTAAATTTTTTCTATAGATGTGATCCGAGACGACATAACCAGCCCCTCCGCCAGGCGACTCGACCCCTACCCACACATCGTGATAAATGACCTGCCTCTGCCTCCAGGAGGAGTAAAGGGGTCGTTTTTTGTGTTTTTTTTT